TTTGTCGGGTCACTGAAGTCGACACCTACAACTGACATACCACACAGTTGCACAATTAACTTCCCGGACTTCAAGGGCCAGTATTTCACAGAGTTAGCTACATTGACTCCTTGCGATCTTGCTACGGTATGAAAAATGCAAAAACGCATAATCGCACCGGCCCGCCTGGTGCGTTCCAGTCAGGGTTTGAGTTTGGCAGACACGCTAAGGGCGACTGGACTTCGATGGGGATCAAATGTGCTTGCCCATTAGCTACTTTTTTACTTGGCCAAAACTGGAGATGGTAACCGGTCAGAAATTTTCATTTTATTCTTTAGACAGGAAACAAGAAACGACAAATTCTAAAAATTCGCGAAATTTGTTGTGCTCAAAATAAAGCTGTATATATGAATCCGCTTCTTGCCGAGAGGACAGAAAATGGCAAACCATCAATAACTTTCAAAGATGATAAAAACTCGCTTTAATTCCTATAGTTCGCTGTTTCCGCGCTTTGACATCATAAGCTAAAGATCTGGACAAAACGGGAACAAGAATGGAACAACGGTACCTCGGAGAACTTCGCCGCACAAACTATCGCACAGATACCCGCATTCGAAATTTCCACAATGCTGCCAACATCGCAAGCGGCATTTCTGATGACTGCAGCTATCTGCGCATGGTTCCACGCAAAATCTGCACAGGTCGCTGCATTTTGATATTCTTTTCTGAAAAATTCATGCCCGCCTATTTTCTGTCCTTTTCAATTAATTTTTGTTCTGTTTTACATTAATGTTCCTATGAGGGTGAGTTCAGTAAAGAATGAAGACCAAGCTGGTAGAATGTGCTTAAACGGATGATGATGTGCTAAACGAAAAACAGAGTATAGGAAGACTGTCTGCCATCACCCGTAGCTACGTCAGGCTCTTTAAAGCTTAGCTTCATTTGTCCAATTACTATTCATTGCCTGCTCAGTTGTGTGCGACCAAGTTCAGGAATTGGTCGAATTTTACTTTGTCACTCTGACGCGCAACAGTGGAAAGTTTGAGAAGACGCTTTCAACGGTAGCAGCTTCATTCTACCGCAATGCAGTGATGGAAGTTTATCTGCAGTGACTGGAGAAATTTACAACTCTACGATCTGAACCTCTTAGTATGCACCTACAACCTTAGGCCGTTATCGAAGGACTAATTAGTGATTTTCACCAGGAACCCGACGACCAGTCACTGGCGGTGTCTAACAGATTTGCCTCACATGGACCTGACCAGTTAATGCGGCCTAACAAAAAACGCTTGTGCTTGAAAATTTCGAGAAAAAAAATGAGCTTACCTGGCTCATCTGTAGCCCACAGATCATTTTTTTTTTCTTTCGACGTCCGGATCGTCGACCGGTTCACTATGCCATTTCATTGGCCTACAAAGTACTCACTGTTAAGCACAAGAATACCTAAGTTTCAGAGGACAATGGTACGATAAAGAAAGGTTGCAAGTAAAAGTGAGCAAGTATGGTGTGGTGATAAGTTGCGCTCACTCGCAAGTTCGAGCTTCGCTGGCTCCTATTTTTGCAGCCTCGACGTTTGCGGGATCCTCCGCGTCGGAAATTATTGCCTTCCTCCCTGCAACGTGATTTTTAGCCGGGGCGACCTAAATTCTGAAGGCCTTCGAGGGAATGCTGCCTGAAACAGCACACTCCGTATAAAATTACGCACCCACGCTCTCACGAGCCTTCCCTTGAACCGTGGATGAAGAACCCCAGCGAAACACATGAGACTGTCGACGAGTTCCAGAACGGCTACTAGCCCAAGCGCCTGTTACCGTGCAACACAGCCGCTATGAGCGGCTGCCTGCAAACCCAAGCCAATACAGTGTGGTGAGGAAATTTCTCCTCGAACCAAAAGACGATTCTCATTCGATGAGCATTCATCGACCGAAATCCAACTCATCTGTCTCGTACGAATCTGGCCTGCTAATGCGGCCTAACGACAAGCGTTTCGCTTGAAAATCACTAAAAAAGAGATGATCTTACCGTGCGGTCTTTTCCCCGCACTGCTTCCGTCGACCTCGGCCTTCGCGATATTCTTCGCCTGGGAAGTGTCGCTTCCCTCCTCCCAGCGCGATCTTCAATCAGCGCCACTTGCGCCCTGGAGGCCTCAGCAAGTGACGCGACCTGAAACAGCACACTTCGTACAAACTGATGCAGAAAAGAAGGATAAGACATTGCCAAAATGCACGCAGACAAATAGTTCAAAGTGTGGCTGGATACCGAAGTCCGGTGTCTCTTTTAAGGATTAGCGAG